TTTTTAAAAGATTTTTATTGGGAAATTGGGGGATGGGAACAGCGCTGGGGAATTGGGGGAAGGGGAACAGACAAGTTGCTGTCCTTTTGTTCTTCAGTCCAGTTGTGGAGGTTGTTGCTTCACTGGCCCAAGTTGGCACCATCATTGCGCTCTTCCCTGGCGAGGCAGATCAGTCGCCGGCTTCTGAACAGCCACTCACCGTGGCTGCTGGCTGCTCATGCTGGCTGCTGGCTACACATGGTAGCCCATGGCAACCCACTGCAGCAGGGACTGCAGCCTACACCATCACCGGGGACTCAACGGCAGCTCAGCTCCAGGTTGAGCTGTTGTTCAACATCTTAGCTGTAGAGGGCAGTGTCACTGGCCCTCATATGTGGGATCTGAACTGGGGCCCTCTGGGGTCCCAAGCCAGCTCTTAACCAACGTGCCACTGGACCTGCCCTAACTTGGTTTTTGTAAGAGCTTGTTTGGGCCTCTGGGCTCACAGCCTGGCTCTGTTGCAGATGACTTGGCTCATGGTGTGTTGTCTGCACACAGGCTGCTCTGAGCCAGGCTGGATTCAGGGTCTCACCTGAGGGATAAGTTAGATGTTGGCCTTGAGTCCTCCCCAAGGTCAGACTTAGGGCCTTTTCATGTTTTGGTCGTTTTCTTTATGTGGATCATCTCTTTGCTTGTTGTTAGTTCGTCTGTTCCTTCCTCCTTTTGATTCATTTATTCTGATTTGTTCTGTCTGTGTGATATTGAACAGTTCGGCCCTTCACTCTCTGAAAGGTAGAGCACAGGCAGCTCCTTTAATGAGACTGGTGAGATCTGTTTGCTGCCAAGACAGCTGTAAAAACTATTGCTTATTTTTTCTCTTTTTAGATACAAGAAGCTTGGAAGAGAAGTCTTGTAAGTTTGGCCCCTCCCTAATTTTTAGCCTCCTAAAATAACAAAACCAAACATCAAACTAACCTTTCTGCTCACCCTTTCGAAGTCAACAGTGCATCCTGACAACAGCAAGCTCATCCCCAGTCCTTTCCGACCTGCAGGTAAGCTGATTCTAATGTTCAGAAGGGGTCTGGGAAGATATGGTTTGTAACAAAAAACTCCGCCTGCCTTATTTTAATTGTTTTTCTTCCTAGAAGGATTTCTGACAGTGAGTCTGGAAACCACAGCTTAAAAAGAATGTTGAAAGGGTCTAGGGTTGACAGTAGGGAAAAGCAGGATTTGGGGCCCTGAGCTCTGTCCAGTCCTGTAGAAAGATCTGGATTTGGGAGTGAGGGGACAGGCCTGGGCTGAATTGTGCCCTGCTCCATCGTTCCCAAAGAACAGCTACTTCCCGGATGGTTTGCACGAGGTGTGATAAAACAATATGGTGAATGTTCAAATGAAAACAGATTATTACAGCAAAAGACACATTGTCATTAACCCCCCTCAGAATACTCCCCCTCGCTTCAAACACACTTATCCATCGTTCTTGCCACTTTCTAAAGCAGTCCTGGAAGTCCTCTTTCGTGAGTGTCTTTAGTTTAGCTGTCATGGCTGCCTTGATGTCCTGAATCATTTTGACTTTGGGGAAGAGCCAGAAGTCGCACGATGCCAGATCCGGTGAATAAGGTGGATGAGAACACACTGTAATGGTTTTATTTGACAGAAATTGCTGTACCAGAAACGATGTGTAACGTGGAACATTGTCATGATGGAGGATGATTTATGGCAAACTTTAAAACACACCTTCTCTCAACTGTAGCTCACACCCGACGAACCACCAAACAAGTTGAAACTTGTCATACATTGTTACTAAGGTTCCATGTGCCACTTCCTGTATTGAAGATCCGTGCCTTTCTGTTGGATGGCACTTGGCCGCACCGTATTGTTTGATCACAACAGAAAGACTCCGTGTCACACTTTGTTTCTGGTACTGCAATTTCTGTCAAATAAAAACATTACAGTGTGTCCTCATCCACCTTATTCACTGGATCTGGCACCGTGTGACTT